TTTATATAAGAGATTCAAGTATATTGATATATACTACCATTTCATTAAGATTTAATAAAAAAGAAAAGATTTTTACTAACTATATCAATGTTATTAATATAGTAGCCAATAAGATAATAAAGTCATATAAAAGAATAATATTCGAAAGATTCCAGAAAATATTAAAACTGGAAATATAAAAAAAGTAATATAAATAGAATATAAAAAGGGAATAATCTTAATAGAGAAGTATTAAAAATTGAGATTATATATTATATATTCTATATCTATATTTATCTTATTTTATCTTACCTTACCTTATCTTATCCTACCTTACTCTAATTAGAATAAATGTTTTAGATATTCATCTATAATATAGTTAGAGCCACTTTAAGCATCTTCTTCTTTTAGATATTATATATAGTTTAATATATCTTTCTTAAGATAGTCAATAATACTACTATTTCTATTATGCTATAGAGCATCACTTTCTAATAGTTATATAAATAAATTTTTTATTTTTTATATCGAAGTAAACTATATTATATTCCTAGTAAAGTTATAAGCTAAGTTTTCCAAAGAGATATTCTTTTTATTATATAAAAAGATTTAATTTTTCATTTCTAAAAGATTTAGCGTTTTCTATTATTAGTTAGATATAAAAAGGATTTGGAAAGGGATTTTGATTAAAGATCTTAGTAGTAGAGTTATATACTTCTTGAAGTTGATATTATTGAATAAAAAGATTATTGTAAATATAATTGAATTATTATTCGATAATTAATTAGACTATATATTTAGTATTGAATTGTTTTTTGATAATTAATCAGATTATATATTCAATATAGTGTTTTTTGGCAATAATTTCTGTCGGTATATCATATGCATATCATATGCGTCGCTTAAACGATGCATGTGATAGGCCTATAGTATATAGGCATTAATCTCAGGAGAGAGCTTTTTCTCTTCTATATATAATAATCATTCTAATACTAGAGTATTTATATTGTCGTCACCTTGGCTAGCCTCATAGAGGTGCCACTTGTGAGTACCATCACCACCTTGTGAATCTACGCACCCCAGAGGCCTACCAACAATTTCAAATAAAACAAATAGATTTCGAAGAAAAAGCTAAATAGCAGAGTTAATGTTTTCTATATTAAATAAATTAATCAATGAGATTGGATTTTGGAAAGGGATATTAGAAATGAATATATTAACAATATAAGATTGATTTTGGAATATTTGATGAATATATATGATTAAGCTTTTTATATATTATAATTTCGGGAGCAGATATATTGATATTAATAACAGATATATCAAAATTGATATTATTAGATATAGCCAATAAATTTATAAAATCGGTTATTATAACAATACAAATTGAAATTGGAATCAAAGTTATTAAATTGAAATTGTTATATATAAATAAATATAATCAAAGCTGGACTGTTATCAATGACAGGGCCCTTTGAAAGATCGAATATACTATCACAGAGTTAATACAGATGCTAATAGGAATTAGATAAAATATTTAATATTTAACAAAAAGAGAAGGAGGCATATAGAGTAATACTGATTATATAGTGAATAGATATCTAAGGCATCTATTCGTGTTAATTAAAAATGGGTAATATGCACATGACAGATGTAGCTGGGTGCAGGTAGGTGCAGATAGGTATAGGTAATCACACTTGGTGAACCCGTGACAATTATTTTCAGAGTTTTGGCGAAATGTCAGTTGCAGGCCTCGGTACTGTATGGTACTTGTACCATTAGGACTCACCCAGGCTTTAATACTCTGACATTCAGAATCACCTAATTTGGTACTACACGAGATGGAAATCGAGGACTAAGAATATATATATAGTCTATGACTATGACTATACTTATTGATTTGACAGTTTACATTGAACTTCGAAGCAATACCGGTAGCCTTTTACTAAAGTTATAACCTTTGATTAATTCCCATCTCACCATAAAAGAAAATTGGATTCATACCTCCAGGATTCTTAGAAGGGGTGCTCAAGGATTGCCCAAGGATTGCTTTGCCTTTATAAATCGACGTCGCCACATAAACCTTGCTTCTTAAACATCAACAACTTTCAAATGTTGTTTCCTCTTGCTCTTTTCAACAATTTACTTCTTGATTTTATGGAGATGGTTTGTTAATTGAAGTTTCGCTTTCGTCCTTAACACATGAAGGCAGCACCATAATGGGAGGTTTAACATGGTTTCTTTTCATTTATTGCTTAGGTGGTCTCACATTTCTTCCCCTCCTCATAATAGCATTATTACTTCACGCATACTTTACCTTCCCGGTTCGCGACGATGCCGATTCACGAAAAGACGACGAGTCAATCTCTCGACCTGGTGATGATGTTGATGCCATTAAATCTGCACAAAGGTCCCTGGGCGAGAAGTTTCAACTTCACAATAACCATGAGGCAGATGTAGCTGCTGGATATTTCGCTATTTGTAGGGAATACTCACCCGGAGGGGTGAATGGGAAGCCTCCAGAACGAACAACACCTGTTGGGTCAACTGCGGTCTCGGCACCCAGTCCTAGCGTTTACCAAAGCATGTACAGAAGCTTGTTCGAGAGAAAGACAAACAATGGCCCGCTAGACAATAAGGCAGCCGGGAAGCCACAGAAGAAGGGCGGCAACGTATTCTACGTGGTCTTGAGGTTGTTGCCCGAGGACACGCTCAGACCCTTCTCGAGTGTTATAAGGCATACTGACAGTTAGATTAGACATGGGCATTTGATGCTTTTTGATGACGATGACCAGCTCGAAGTTCGATACGTAGTGTCTTTGGCACATCACGATGTTGGTATATACTCAGGACCGAACGACATTACACCAGAAGGAGAATTATTTATAAAGCGAAACGCTATTTGCTTATCGAGGAAGCGGGGTGTTGGTGAAATGACTGCCGACGGCAAGCCTTCTCAGCCTTTCTATTTATTCTCCGAAAACTGCTCTGATAAAGAAGATTTCTATTTTGCACTTCTTCGAAACCAAGAGTCCGGCTCGACCCCAAAACCACCGGTTCCGTTGCAGTACGATGTAAAAGATATCATTACTCTTGTCCAGAGGTTGCACTCTTCCGAAGAACATCTTCAGACAAGGTGGATTAATGCATTAATCGGCCGAATTTTTCTTGCGCTGTATAAGACACCAGAGATTGAGAATTTCATTCGGGCGAAGATTACCAAGAAGATATCAAGAGTCAAAACTCCCAATTTTTTGCGACAAATTACTCTTCGCAACGTAGATATGGGAGCGGCCGCACCGGTGATCACGAATCCACGTTTGAAGGATTTAACTGTGGACGGGCAGCTCATCGTGGAAGCTGATGTTCGTTACACGGGCAGTTTTCGTCTTGAGGTTGCTGCAATAGCTCGCCTTGAACTCGGTGCACGCTTCAAGGCTCGGGAAGTGAACCTACTGCTGGCTGTTGTCTTGAAAAAGATCGAAGGCCATATGTTACTCCGAATCAAGCCACCCCCCTCAAATAGGCTCTGGGTAACATTTGAGACCATGCCAAAGATAGACATGACAATAGAGCCCATCGTGAGTTCGCGGCAGATTACGTACACGTTGATTCTTCGCCAGATCGAGAACAGGATCAAGGAAGTTGTGGCTGAAAGCTTAGTCTTTCCCAATTGGGATGATTCGCCCTTTGCCAGTAGCGTAGACAAGTTATGGAGAGGTGGCATCTGGGCAGATGATCGACGTGCGGAACCATCTGAGAATGCCGAAACCATTGCAGCTGAGGATGGAGACGTCGACGAGGTAGACATTCTAGAAGCCGAGCGCGATGACTCCACGGCATCTACGCCGCCAGTCGAAAAGAGCTATAGCACTCCTGTGCTTGATACCAACTTTTCTAAAACGATGCATTCGCGCAAAGGCATAAAGTCCACTTCAAATCTTACCGGTCCATTTTCTGGCAGCTCATCGGGAGTCGATGCACGGCCTTCGACAGGCGATAAACCACGAGCTCTTCGTTCCGGATCTTTTGCCAACGCCTCCTCCCCGGTCGTTACTACTGATATAACAAACGCGGACGCATTCAAGCCCTCGAGCCCCCCCAATGAAAAACATGCCGCAACCGCAATGGCCAAGCTATCCGCGAAATCCGACTTCCCTTCACAGAGTCCTACGGGGTCTCCCAACCGACCAACAAACATCAGACTAACCAGTAGCCAATCCTCGTCATCTTCACGGGATTCCTCACATTCTGAGAAAGCTTCTACGAGCAATTTCAAACCGCAAACTTCTTTGGATCCATCATTGTTTACTGATAAATCTAGTATCAAATATTACCCCTCAAGTCCAGCAAGTTTAAGCACTGCATCAATAAGATCAGAATATCCAATCCTCAAAGCTTCCGGGACTCCAAAACGCGAGAATACTACATCGTCGGCGAAATCTTCAACTTCAGAGACCAAACGATTGTCTCTTGCTGCTGTTACTAACGCGGCGGCAACGGCGAAGACCTGGGGTGTAAGTGAATTTTATTGTCCCCTTCCTTAGTCAGATGGGAATGGCGTTGACGTAGTGCATTTATGCTGTATTACTGCATTTCACTCAATTTTCTTATGCTCAGACTCTTTGAATGTACGACTAATTTTGGTGTCTATAGTGGAATGCTATTCAACGACGTAGCGATCAGAAAGCAAGTAGCTCTTCAGAATCAATGGGACCAACCCAACCACGCGTTATGGGGCGCGGACAACCCCTGCCCCCCCCTGGAGTGCCTCTACCTCCACCAGACAAAAAGACAAAAACGGCCCCCATCCCCGTGCCGAAGCGGAAACTAATCCCCCTTCCTGTTCTGCCACAGAGACATCAAACGGAAGCGGCTACGAATCGGCAGCATCAAAATTCTCAGCCACCCCCTTTACCTAGGCGTGCTTCTCGGAAGAACACGGACACTGGAGATAATGGCCTCCTAGTTGTGTCAGCACCATCAGAACCGACAACACCAGTGACTGAAGATTCGCCACAATATTTGCAACCGTGGGTAGATGATGTGGATGAGTCGATGGAAGAACATCAACAATCTAAAGATGCCGCCTCTTCACTTTCTGCTCCTGTTGCTCATGAGCCACCCCAACTCCCAAAGAGGCGGCACCCACGCCGAGTTGTCTCTACTAGCCCTGAAGAGGACGGGCACAAATTACCCTCATGGATGGCGGCACAGGAGCAGGAAGCTCGGACCAAAAGCAATTTCGTTGATGAAGATACAGGCCTATGAGTTATGTAGTTGGGTATTTGATTCTTATGTTGGTACATGGGACAGGTCTGGTGCTTGAATAGCGCGGTATACATACAAGGTTATTGGGATCATGTGGGAAGTTAGGACTTGGTTAACCTACATTGGCAGGCGTTGCATGGTTATTTGGTTTGTAGGATTGCGAAGGTAGAACGGAACTAACATATACAATAGGAATCATAAAATACCATTAACAAAGTAATCTTTTATCCCAATAGCTTGTTTTTCAGTGAGTTTTGTGACGCAACCAGATATCTAGCAATGATGGCTACTCCAACGGGGTTACTTTAAAATATAGAAATTGGATTGGATGTGAATGCACATGGATGTCTGAGGAGTTTGAAATTGAGATGTTCATTCATCTCGAGGTCATTTCGTACCTGCACAGCCACAGCCACAGCATAAAAGTAAACGCCACATTACGCAGCTCCACTAAAACTTGCCCCGTACAAGCAAGCTTTAAGTACAACTTCATCTATAATCCTTTGGTGTTTCCTACAACCTTACCCTCCATAAAAAGAATCATATTTATCATTTTCCCCCTGTGCATCCCGCGCTCTACGCGCTCTCAATCATGTCGTACGCGACGTCTGCCAGAAACGTGGATCATACCAAGTAAGTGGGCGGGAATTTCGGGCCTCTACAGCTCCCTATCTCCTATTATTGTCGAGCTTCGATTTGTACTAACATTTCTATAATCGATCAGGTCCGAGGCGGAGCTTGCAATCAACATTCGAAAAGCCACAAGTATCGAGGAGACCGCGCCGAAACGCAAGCATGTTCGTAGCTGTATTGTGTATACATGGGACCATAACAGCTCTGGAGCCTTCTGGGCTGGTATGAAAGTGTCAGTCTAACCCATCTCATACATGTATTCCAAAGATATCACATCAAACTCTGGACAAACGAAATTGCTAACTTCAGGCCGTTCTCATAGACAACCTATTCTTGCGGATGAGGTTCAGACATTTAAGGCGTTAATTACCGTTCACAAAGTTCTACAAGAGGGTCACCCATCGACTTTACGTGAAGCTATGTCGAACCGGAGTTGGCTCGACAGTCTGAATAGAGGCATGTCCGGCGAAGGTATGCGGGGTTATGGACCTTTGATAAAAGAATATGTCAATTTTCTACTGTCCAAATTGAGCTTCCATCAACAACATCCCGACTTTAATGGTACATTTGAATACGAGGAGTACATCAGCTTAAAAGGGATCAACGACCCAAACGAAGGCTATGAAACCATTTCGGATCTTATGGCTTTGCAAGATAGGATCGAACACTTCCAGAAACTGATATTTTCGCATTTCCGAAATGGGGGCCACAACGAATGCAGAATATCCGCCCTGGTGCCTTTAGTGCAAGAGAGTTATGGTATCTACAAGTTTGTCACTAGCATGCTACGAGCTATGCACACGAGTATGTTATGGAGCTCACAATTAGATATTCCACTCTGACTTGACTTGTAGCGACCGGTGATGACGATGCCCTTGAGCCTTTGAGAGGTAGATACGATGCCCAACATTATCGCCTTGTAAAGTTCTACTACGAATGCTCCAACCTTCGATATCTCACGAGTTTGATCACTGTACCCAAGCTACCACAAGAGCCCCCAAATCTGCTCTCCGAAGATGATTCTGCTCCCAGATTACCGCAGCGGCCGAAGCAAGAAATTGAGAGGCAAATCACACCTCCGAAGCCTCCCAAGACGGAAGAGCCGGATGAAATTGGTGAATTTTGGAAGAGCGAACAGGACCGACAAAATAGAGAGTATGAGGAACAACAGAGAGTCCTAGCAGAGCAACAGAGACAACAAATGCTGGCACAACAGCAAGCACAACGTCAGGCGCAGCAAAGTTATGAAGAACAGCAGCGTTTACTCGCCGAGCAGCAAAGGCGAGAGCAAGAACAATTGATGCTACAACAATCTCAACAACAAACTTATGGTCGCCTGGCGGAACTCGAACGGGAGAACTTAGAAGCTCGAGCACAATACGCAAGGGACCAGCTTATGCTGCAACAATACGACCAAAAGATCAAGGCGCTGGAGAGTGAGCTTGCTCAACTGCAGGGCAGTTATGGACAACAAATTGGTAGTAAAGAGGATCAGATTAGAGCTTTGCAAGAACAAGTTAATACTTGGAGGACAAAATACGAAGCGCTTGCGAAATTATATTCACAATTACGACACGAACACCTCGACCTTCTTCAAAAATTCAAGAGCGTTCAGCTAAAGGCAGCTTCAGCCCAGGAGTCCATCGATAAACGTGAAAAGCTGGAGCGGGAGATCAAGACCAAGAACCTCGAGCTCGCCGACATGATCAGAGAAAGAGATAGAGCTCTGCATGAAAAAGATCGTCTCACTGGTGGGAACCGGGAAGAAGTTGAAAAACTTAAGCGCGAGCTTCGCATGGCTCTCGATCGTGCCGAAAACCTGGAGCGGAGTAAAGGCAATGAACTCTCCACCATGCTTTCCAAGTACAATCGTGAAATGGCAGATCTCGAGGAGGCACTTCGCAACAAATCCCGCGCATTAGGGGAAGTCCATGCTAAGTACAGTGAAGGAGGTTCGGATGCCGAAAAATTGCTGAGGGACAAGGAGGATGAGCTGGAGGTCTACAAACAAAGTTTGGATGATGCACTGATTAGACTCAATGAGCTCGAGACGTCCCAAGGGGCCAACGACAATGCTTTGGATGGAGAGATTGATGCTATGCTCCTTTCAAATATTGGCAAAATCAACGACATGATAGATTCTGTTCTTCAGAGTGGAGTTCAGCGTGTTGATGACGCTCTTTACGAACTCGATTCCACTATGCAAGCCGGTAACCAGAATGCCACCCCATCTTACGTGCTTTCGCAGATCGAAAAAGCATCAGCAAGCGCTACTGAATTCGCCACGGCATTCAACAATTTCATAGCCGATGGTCCAATCAGTAACCATACCGAGATCATTCGGACCATCAATGTCTTCGCCAGCTCGGTTTCTGACGTCCTTAGCAATACCAAGGGCCTCACGAGACTTGCGACAGACGATAAGAAGGCCGATCAGCTTACCAATGGCGCACGCCAGTCTGCACAGTCTACTGTTAAGTTTTTCCGTGGTTTGCAAAGCTTCCGATTGGATGGTATGGATCCAATGCAACGAACTGAGGTTGTAATCAACAGCAATAATGAGGTACAGATCCACCTGCAACGCTTGAACAAACTTGCAGATACATTTGCGCCAAACAGTGGTAAACTTACAAACAACAAAGGCGACTTGGGCGATTTGGTAGACAACGAGCTCACTAAGGCTGCTGATGCAATTGCTGCTGCTGCTGCACGCCTAGCGAAGCTCAAGTCCAAACCCAAGGATCAATACTCAACATACAAACTTGAGATCCACGATTCAATCCTTGATGCTGCCATTGCGGTCACGAACGCTGTCGCAAAGTTAATTAAAGCAGCTACTGTTACTCAGCAAGAAATTGTTCAGGCTGGTCGTGGCTCGTCTTCCAAGACCGCTTTTTACAAGAAGAACAACCGATGGACTGAGGGGCTTATCTCCGCCGCAAAAGCAGTAGCAACTTCAACCAACACATTGATTGAGACCGCAGATGGAGTTCTTTCAGGGCGCAACAGTCCGGAACAACTTATCGTTGCTTCTAATGAAGTTGCAGCCTCTACAGCCCAACTAGTCGCTGCTAGCAGAGTTAAGGCCGGGTTCATGAGCAAGAGCCAAGAGAGCTTAGAGCAAGCTAGTAAAGCTGTTGGTTCAGCCTGCAGGACTCTTGTCAGACAAGTGCAGAGCATGATCAAGGATAGGGATCAAGATGATGAAGGAGAAGATTACGCCAAGCTCGGGGCGCATGAGTTCAAAGTTAGGGAAATGGAGCAGCAGGTAAGATCCCTTGAACAAAGAACTGGCCGAAGCACGGCTAACACTGATTTTAACAGGTCGAAATTCTACAACTCGAGAACAACTTGTCGTCAGCGAGGAAAAGATTGGGCGAGATGCGAAAGATATCCTACATGGAGGATTAAGTATCATGGCATTAGTGGACGATGGTTTCTTGTAGGGAAGGCATTCGTGTGAATACTTTTGATGCCGAGGCAAAATTAATGCTTTAAGTTTCGTACATTTTTTTTTTCCAATCGTATCTCTTCGTGATTGCAGTTTACTTAGCGGTATTGAGAATCAATTGAATTATAATGTGTCTTTCTTGTCCGCCACCACTATCTCCTCTAGTTCAACTCGAAATACCGAAATACCCCTGATCCGATGCTAGGATCCCCTGTCCGCGAATTATCACTCAGAGTTCCTGTAAAGTTGAAATCCCACCCACAACACCAAGAGCTCAAACTTCACGATCTTGTACTCCAGCCACTCACCAATGTTACCATAAATCTCCAGCACCATCACTAACAAGACTTTTGGGTTTACCAGTACTCTTTTCTTTTCTCGTGGTGGAGATTCATTTAAAAGTCAGAAAGTCTCGTACTCGTATTCCTTGAATCCTTGTCGCCACTAACCCACACTTCGGATGCACCAGCACACCAAGATCCATAAAGGGTAAGCACAAGGTTACATCCGTGGACGCTGGCACTTGCATTAGTGTTATGTTAGTTTAGTAATTGGCGCCTGTGTCTCCATATGCTTATTTCTACGACATGTCATGATGCAAATGTGGTGAAAAAAACTGAAGGAGGGAGAATAAACTGTGTCATACATCACCAACACTTATCAATACTTATAATACATATCATGGAACATGTCTCACGAGAGAGAAAAGCAACAGTGGTAAAAGAAATATTTAGTTCAATCATGATATACTTTTATTGATGCGAGCGAGTCTTTGAAGGAAGAAGAAATTCTAATGGATCAGAACCTTCTGAAAATATACAAGACCAGCAAGCTTAATGCTTAGCAGGTCACCCTTTGAGTATCAATCCTTCCAAATAGTGAGCAAACTGTAATGAGAACTATGTACTGAGAACAAGAACGAGGAAGCTTGATGCGCAACAGGTGTTGCAGGAGTTCCAACTGCTACCATCAAGATGTTGAAGATCAAGCGGAGAATGTACCAAGTGTTCCATCTAATGACACGCTGCGTCAACGGGTATAAACATCCATCCAACTCCTAGTTGTTGCTGTTACCTCCATGCTGGAGATTAATCATCGTGGAAACGAGAAGAGGTCCCGGCGCCGTGAACGATTCGAATACGTAGCAGGCTACGACTCAGCAAAGTCTAAGACAATTAGTATCGGAACCT